TCCAGTCCAAGAACTCTGAAGGAGCCAACATATCCAGTTTCTCTGACACAAGAGATCACGAGCACGTAACATTAAATCCCTTAAACAACTTCTGTTAAATATTGTAATTTCACCAATGGGAAATAATTTCAATCAATTTCCACACGCTTAGCTGTCACAGTCTCAAAATACTACTGTTCATCATTTTTATTGTGTGAGATTTACAAGGATGGGCTTTCTTCAGATAGTCTTACTGGTTAGGATGACTATGGAGCATCCAATTAAGAACAAACAGTTCCTTGAAGTATCAATCTCCTGCCCTACGAAGAAGAGAAGACATTATTTACATTCAACAATCCTCCCCCAATTTACATGATGGAAAAACTTTACTACGTCCAAAGCTCAATATCTATAATTTAAATATGGCAGGATTCTTGAGTAACACCAAAAGTAACCAGCTAATTTAAGAACCTATACAAACTTTGGTCAGATCTGGAAGCCAATCAGACTTTGTGCTAGCCACTGAGCCTGCAAAGGAGGGAAAGAAAGAGTCAGGCTTGTAGATATCATGCTCCTAATGGTTCCAAGGACCAACATGAGAAGAGTCAGGCTTGTAGATATCATGCTGTGAAGGTGCTCCTAATGGTTCCAAGGACCAACATGAGTACGGGGACAAACTCCTTAGAGTGCCAAGCTTGCCCTAAACCTTAGAGAGGCTCAGAAAGCTGCTTTCTGAGCCTCTCTGAATAGTAAAGTCTGGGATATCTCCTGCCTTTCTCCAAAACATGGGGAAGGGCAGGAGACTTCCCAGATTAGGAAAAAAGTACACTTGCTAACATCAAGTACATGGCTAATGTACATGCTGTTCAAGGATACAACTCTGGCTGCAGCCTGTAGGCATCCAGTTATGCACTCATGCATAACCAACTTCCATAATTACTGCTGCGTGGGATCAGAGTCCATCCTATTGCATATAAAGATGCAATCTCTTCCTTATGAATGTAAGGGAGCCCACACAGAGCGACAACCAGGCTGAAATGGCTCCGTCATCATGAACAGCGAAACTGGCCTGCAAACCGACACAAGAAGCTGAAAAGATAAGCTGGCAAGATAGGCAACCGTGACAAAAGTCCTTTCCTTTACTGGTCAACTCATCTGAGCAAAGGCCTCATGTCTGGCCATATTGAATTATTTTCCTAACAGAGCCATACTAAACACTTGGAAAGTAACACACTAGCTCATATCACCTCAAGGTTTCTTTACAATACTCTGGTTTCTCTTCAGATAGTATAGTAAATCTTACAAGAAACAAACATGACATCTCCATCTCATCTTCCATCTACTAAGGGGAACAATTTCAATATTTTTTTTTCCATTTTATGAACTTTTTACAGTAAGAAGCAACATCTTTTAGCTCAATGCCTCTCCCTCCAGAACACCATGCTGTCATTTTGCTACTTCAGCATCACACATTACATTCACATGCAGTGTCCCCCCCCCCACCAGCTCAGTGGGAATTGTTTCCTTTCCTCCCTATACTTAGGGGTCCTGACAAGAGATAAGCATGATAGATCTTGTGATTAGACGACGAGGTTCTAAAAAGTGTTCCATACCAAGCTGCTGATCAGAGGAGTCTTAACATTTGTGGTGTAGATATGCTCAAATCAAGTTAGTAGTTTCTATGAGCTACAGTTCAGAGGCACTACGGACCTCCAGAAGAATTCTCAATACCCTCACCAAACTACATCTCCCAGGACTCTTTGGGGGAAGCCGTAACAGTAATGGGATAAAATCAACACATTTGGCAAACTTCTTCTTAACAATGAATAAAGCAGTGGGGAGTTGGCCCAGTTAAATTCACTGGGGCTTACTTCCAAATAAAGAAGCACAGGACTCCACTGTAGGGACAATGCAGCAAAGAGAGCTAAGCAGGCTTCAATTCTTAGTCAAGGACTGGACCTGCCGGGAGATTAAAAAACAGCCTAATAAGCTCACATTAGCCACTCCTGCGGTATGTGTTGTATTTTTTTATCCCAGGCCTTCAAAAAGGTTTATACAACTAATCTGATGGCTTTAACCTAATCCGTGTTGCTTCCTGTTAATAAGGTTAACAATAAAGAGAGTCAGGTTAGTAAATGTAAAACAAGCATCTTACTTGACTTAACGGTTTGTAATGTGCAACGTATGTAAACGATTGAAGATACCACAGCTTTTCTAGTGAGGCGTAGTGGTTCAGCACTGCACTAAACCCAGAAGAACCCCCCACTCTGCTGCACAACCTCACTGGGTGACCATGGGCCAGTCAGTGGAGTGGATCCAACCATCTTCTAAACAGTGGCTCCCAACCTGTTTAGAATGGTGGCCCCAAAGCCCAAATTTACTCAGCATGGTGACCCGGCCAGGACTAGCCCAAGGTCTTTCGGCACCCTAGGCAAACTATGACCTTGGCACCCATCTAGTTCAGCATTCCATTTTCTACATTGGCTAACCAGAAGCCTTTGAGGAACCAATAAACATCGCACAAACGGCGCAACTGCCCCCACTGTGAACCCCAAGCAAGTGGCATTCCGACATATGCAGCCTTTGCATACAGAGGTTACATTTCATCCCTTGACCACAATCTCTTTCTCCATTACTCCCTCTGATCCCTCCTAAGATCCTCACTCACTGTAGTGACCACCAAAACACATTTTACTTGAGCAACATGTAGATGCAGTGAAGAAGAAAAAAGCTAACTAATATATGATATAGAAGACACGGTTTCCAGAGTCAGATCTTGGTTTCCAAGTTACAAGTGAGAGCAATGGAAAGGGCAGAGGTGGCCATTAGGGAGGGCTGGCCTGCAACCCACATCCAGAGGCTTCACAGTCCACTTTTGGGTACTGACCCACAAGTTGGGGAAAACTGCTCAAAGAACCCTCGCTCCAGCTTAAGAAGCCTTCCTACAACCTAAGTGGCTCTTCCACTGGAAGAAGAACCAATTACATTGGAGGAAGGCTTCAAACATGAGCCAAAAGTAAAGTGGGGTATTAATATTTTAATAAATAAATAAGCTTTGCTCAGTAGAGTGGTGGGCAATGTTCCCTCTAAGCTGAGTTAGTGTGAGCTAGCTCAGTTTTTTAGCCTCCAGCTCACAAATTTTTGTCTTAGCTCAGGAAGGATGGCTCCAGTACAAGCTAATTTATGCAGTAGACAAATTGCTCGCTCACAACTTTAATGCCAGTACCTCACAAAGTGGAATTTTTGCTCACAAGACTCCACAGCTTAGAGGGAGCGCATTGGTGGTGGGATAGTAGGACCCTCCCCACCCTCTCTCAGCCTGACCTACCAGACTTGGCAGTTGTGAGGATAAAATGAATGGGACAGAACAATGTATGGGTCCCCACTCGGGAGAAAACCATGGTAGCGATACAGTTAACTTTCAGTGTGACCGAATCTGTGGATATTTATAGCTATAGACTGGAGCCATGAACAAACAAAACAGCTCTTTCTACAAACCAAGAAAAGCTCCAGGTTTATAGAAAAATCTAAAATATAAAAAAATTATATTGGGGGATTTAAAAACAACAACCAAACAATAGAAAAACATCATCTGTCCCTTCAAGAAACAGATAAACTCTGTGGTAGACATTATAGGGGGGTGCTGCACAACCATAACAGTCTTGCCAGTTGAAGTCTTGCTTTCTATCAGTAAGAAGAAGAGAGAGGAGGCACAACCCTTTCCTGGACTGATTTGGTTTTTGAGGGAGGCCTTATCAGGGCTGGGCCAGCAACCACAGGGTGACTTACAACCACATGACTTACCCAGGGCCAGCTACTTTCTACTGTTCAACAGCAGCAACCACATGAAAGTCCATGTTGTACTAGGATCTTAGAGATCCCGGTTCAAGCCCCCACTATGCCATGGAATCTTACTGGTTGACCTTGGACAAGTCACACAATCTCATCCTACTGACTGCCAGTTGTTGTGAAGACAAAAAGGAAGATAATGATGTAAAGCATTTTGGTGACACACTATGGGGAAAGGTGGGGGTGTCAATAAAATGTCGGGAAAGGGGAGGCAGATAAAATGTAGGCTAGTGGGAAGAAGAGATGGAAGCAGGGAAAGCTGAGAAGAGGGAGGCTGCCAGGAGGAGGGAAAGAAGAAATAGTATGGGGAAAGGGATACTGGAGAAAGTGAGGTACCCCTCACAAGTTCCCCAACTGGGCCTGGCAGCCGGTACTGTGCAACTTAGTCAGACTTTTCCCAGGGAGAAGCTGCCAGGGGTAGGGAAGGAAGGAAAGAAGACAAGAGAAGGCAAGAGGCTTGGCCAGGGAAAGGAAAGAGGAAATACTGACAGAGGAGAAAACAAGATCCCTTCCCCACAAGTCCTTCACTTGTACCTAACTATATGAAATCTCCTTCCCATTGGGCAGCATGAAGGCATAGAATCAGTTGCTTTGGCAGTCCATGGGAGGCGGGTAGTGAAGAACACGAAAGGAAACCATTTCTTTTGCAAATTAATAACTCTACCGTTACCCTTTGCCTTGGGAGGTGGGTAGTGAAGAACACGAAAGGACATTACAAACCATTTCTTCTGCAAATTAATAACTCTACCGTTACCCTTTCGGATTACATAGGAGTAGAATTATGTTTCCTTTTTTCTTACACTTTCAGCTTACAATTTTAAGCAGGCTTATAAAAACCCACACTGAACTGGCCTGGAAGTAAGCGCTGCAACTGCATCACAGAACCTACAGCAGAAGTCCAAGGCCTGTAGATCCTCCTATTCTCGCCCTATGCCCTACTGACACATGTGTAGGCCAATGCGCATGCGCAACATTCCACAACGTTTGCAGGATTCTAAGCCTCCTCCTCCTTGCGCAGCCGCAGTACTCGGCAACGTCACTGGAGAAACTACACATATGAGCCGTGAGGAACATCAGCCGGCACCCCCTCCCTCTTCTGAACATGCGCGCTAGACAGAAAGGGGGGGGAGAAGGAATCTATCCATTTCCCTCCTTAAAATTCCCCCTCTTACCATATACCAGGTGCCCAGGATGATGGTGCCCGTGCGGACATGACAGCAGCCACAACAGCGAGTGCTGTAGAAACGGTTTCGGCTCCGCTTGAACGTCATCGCGATGCCGACAATGGCGGCAGAACCAGCACCTTCTCCTATCTCTTCACCACAGCCTCTCCTTCAGAAGGGCTCAGGAAAAGGCCGGAGCGATACCGCGCGTGTCTCTCCTCCCACCAACCAGTAACAATCAGTTCTAACCAATCAGTAACAAGGTTCCCTTTGCGACATCATCGGGGGCGGGGCCAAGTGCACTTGGCAAAGACTTGCCCAATCGGGAGGGACTGTGGCGCGAGACTCTTCCGCCTACTCAGTCGTCGGAAAGAAAGGAGGAGGGTGAGTGGGTGGGGTGTGTCCGGAGGCGTGGCCACGCCAAGGCTATTGTGTTCAAGTCTTTGATATATGCCGAAGGGAGCCTAAAGCTTCGATATTGTTCTGTGTCGTTTAGATTTTTGCACTCTCAGTAAATATGATTAGACTCCTACGACTATTTTCCTGGGAGTGTGGCCTGTTGGATAAAAAATGAGACCTGCTTAGGCTTATTGCCAACCTCTGGGTGAGGCAGGGAGATCTCCTGAAATCACAAATGATTTGTAGGAGACCTGCTTAGCCTTATTCCCTATCACTATTAGCCCCAAAGGGTTGCCAACCTCTGGGTGAGGCAGCGAGATCTCCTGAAATCACAAATGATTTGTAGACGACAGGATTAAGTTCCCTTGGAGAAAATGGCAACATTGGCAGGTGGATTCTATGGCATTATACCACGCAACCTTCTCCCTTCCCCAAACTGTCTTCCCCTGGCTCCCCAAACCTCCAGGTATTTCCCAACCTAGAGTTGACAACAATAACCCCCCCCGTTTTCATCTCAGCAGCACCAAACTAATAACAGTCTGGAATTCTTGCTTGTAGATCAAATGGATGGATTCTGATCCAAATTTATGTGGAAATAAACCTTTACTTCCTATATGATTCATTTCCAAGTAAAAAGCTGCACGGGGGCAGCAAACTGGCTTTTTCAGGAACAATGAAACATTCAAATGATGGAAAACTAAGGAAAAACAAGAACCTCTAAGGCAGGGATGTCAAAATAATTTCTTATGAGGGCCAGATTTGACATAAATTGGACTTTGTCAGGCTGGGCCATGTGTGTCAAGAGTTTATATCTCTGCTACATGGCATTACGTTTTATGACACACATGGCCCATCCCAACAAAGTCCAATTTATGTCAAATCTGGCCCTCAAACGAAATGAGTTCAACACCCCTGGCTCTAAAAGGGAAAACAGTGATTGCTCTCTCAGGATCATCAACCAAGGGTGTGATTTTTTTTAAAAAAAAAATCCAGCACAGGATTTTTTGCAGGTCTTGATCTAACCCTGTTCCCTGACCCAGATAACACACTTGAGAAATGGAACCTAAGGGGGAGTCCAGCAGATATCCCTGCTTCCCAAGTTAACACAGCACTCTTCAGCCCTAAATTTTGGGACTGGCCTTTAAGCCTCAATCTACAATGGTGAACCCACTTCTAATTTCCTGTTCTTTCTCTCTCTTCTTCATTTGAGTCAAAAAAGAGGGAACTTTGGCCAGGTTAGGAAAGCTGCATGTAGTAAAATTTCTTCTTCTGCAGTAGTCTTTAAGGGAAAGGAACTGTCCTGTTTTTTCTGTGGCAATCTTTTCTGTTTGTTTCCCCTTAAAAACAACCCCTAAACAGAGTGGTAGTATCAGTGGCAGGACTACCAGTTGGATCCAAGTTCCAGCAAGCATCAGCACCAGAAAGAGAGAAAAATGAGATCTGTGACTTTTAGAGTAGAGTAACCCCCATAAGGAGCTGTGGTGGCTCAAGTGGTTAAGACGCTGAACTGCAGGCTGTGGAAGGTCGGTAGTTCAGCAGTTCGAGACCCGGGTTGCCGCAAGACGGAGTGAGCTCCCGTCTCTAGTTCCAGCTCCTGTCAACCTAGCAGTTTGAAAGCAAGAAATTGCAAGTAGATAAATAGGTACCACTTCAGTAGGAAGGTAACAGCGTTCCGTGCGGCTTGGTGTTTAGTCATGCTGGCCACATGACCACGGAAACATCTTCGGACAGCGCTGGCTCTTCGGCTTTGAAACGGAGATGAGCACCACAACCCTAGAGTTGTATTCGACTGGCTTTCGAGCAAAGGAACCTTTACCTTTAACCCCCATAAAGCTCTTTCCCATTATTGTCTCCCTTGTGCTAAGAAAAACGTCTACTGGTTCATTTCCATGTGGCAGGCAGACTGGCATTAAAAGCATAGTCAAAGGGCCATAGTGAAAAGCTGGCAAGTCTACCTGCCCTTCTTTTAGTGAGGACTTTTTACACATACCCCCCACATAGGTAGAGCAGTAACTCTGTGTCTTTAACAGCTGGCCCAATGGGTAGAAATTCAGCTTTTTCTACCACTGGGACTACCATGCAATGAAAATTGCACTTGGGTTTATATTTATCCCATCTTAGCCTCACAGCAGGCTACATGTATTTGTCTCTTGCATCAAAAACAAAATCAAAAGTCCACTTCTGTCTTCAACTGGTTTACAAGCCAAATGATGCACTTCGTGGGGTTGGCAAGTGACTTGGAGAGAAATGCTCTGCTCTTAATACAGGATGCCACAGAAAACTTCAGCTCCTCATTTCTACACAGTAAGCCTCCATTAAAGGAACAGGACATTTTTCTCCAGGCCAGCTGATTTATTATTTTTTTTGTCTAGGGGTTATGTTTTAAGGGGAATATTTTTCTCCAGTTATTCCAAACAAAGCCTTGTTTCGTCCTGCCGGTTCCAGTCTTATACTAAAACATGGCCCCCACACTGATTCCTAAATCCCAAGCATCCCTTCCAATCCCCTTCCATAGTCCTAAGATAGCCAGTGGGGGGGGGGGGTAAGAAAAGGCAGTGCAGCATAATGGTTAGAATGATTGACTAGGACAGAAAAAAGTTGAGTTCAGATTCCCCTCACTGGGGGATGACGCTCACTAGGTAACCGTGGCCAGTAGATCTGCCTCAGGCTAACCCGCCTCACAGGTTTGTGAGAAGAATAAAATAGGGAAGGGAGAACAATTTGTGTTGCTGTGAGCTCCTTGGAGTAAGGACGGAATAAACAAGCAACAAACAAACAAAAACCCTTTCCGGTATTCTCCAAATAGCTTCCCTGAAATCACACCCAAAATGTGCTCTAATTCCTCTGAACTAAACTGTAGCAACCAGGACTTTCATCACATCTGTGTTGCTTTGTCATCCATGAGTCAATCTTTCCACTTATCTCCAGCGGCTTCCCTGGCTGACTATAAAAGTTTGGAAGTCAAAACAGCAGTCCTTTCATTTTTTTTTAAAGAGCCAAATATCACAGATGGTGTATGAGTGGTGCATATGAATGCATTTTTCTTTCTCTGCCATGCAGCGACCAGCTGCTCCTCCAGAAGATCATGCATGGTGTGTGAAATGGCTTGATAAAAGTCTGCCCCTCTAGACCTTTTGTAATATTTCACACAGCATCATAGTGAATTTCCACCATGACGTGCACGTAACTTGAAATGTTCTGATCTAGTTCCTCACAGTTAATACTTCCCTATTGGCAAAATTCAGTTTATTGAGTCACTGGTAGTAGTCCATGTGATAGCCAAAAGTGCCAAAACTATACTAGGTCAAGTACAAAAGAATAAGAAATCATCAGACTGATTCACCATATTCATAAATTCTGTTGAACTTGATTCCAGTGTGTTTCAGAAAATACAATCATTTTTCAGCACCAGTTTTTGTTACTGTATTGGGTTAGATCCAGCCAGCTTTTCACCTCACTCAATTCCCTTCAATGCTACAGCCCCTGTCCTTCATGGCTTTTGTCTATGCAGGTCCCATGACAATGCTGGTTCCAGGTTGGGTGGTGGGGGTGGGCAAAGTGCCCAGGGTCCCATTACCCTGAACACTTGCATATCCTTCCCCCATGTTTCCTTTTCCCTCCCACCAGCTACATTCCCAGCAGGAAGCCCAACCCACATGCTGGGATCACAGGTGGTAAGAGGGCTTGTAAGCAAGTGGGTGGCAGGGAGGAGGGTTGCCAGATCCCGCACTCTCACCGGTGTGTGCGTGTGGGGGAGTTTTCTGGGAGTGGGGGGGGGCAGGGTGATGTCGCCACATGCGACGTCCCTGACCGGATGACATCACACGGACGGAAGTGACATCATCATTCTGGGGACATCGTGCAGCAACGCTCTGGTATTTTGGGCAAAACTCTCTGGTCACCAGTTGGGGGCAGTGCTTTTCCCATGAAATCAGGGAATCGCCCGCTCCCACCTGGAAGCTGGCAACCCTAGTTGCCAAGCCTGGCTAGGCAACTAGAAGGGGCAGGGAGATGGGGGTGGCCAGTGACAACATTTTCCCTGGATGTGGCATCACACCTCTCTAGGAACAGTTAGAACCTCTATGGTAAAACCATACACTTTTCAGCAATTCCTACAGAGGACTGACTTTTAAAAACATTTCTCATAGCAGTGGTGGGAAACAAGTGGTGGGGCAGGACTGGCAACCGTGGACAGGCACGTGAAAGGGTGAGGAGGCAGCAACCTGCTGGAAACCCTGGACCTCAGCAGCTGACCCACTTTGGGATATGCTCATGCCAGCCCTGACCCATCATTCCCAGCATAGCCTTTTTTTGGATGTTAAAGGGGATCCCATGCTCCCTTTTTCACCAGCAGAAAAGCTGGTTAGGTCCAAACCATTACAGAGGCAGCTGTCTTCTTGTGAAATGTAGCTGCATTGAAAATGTGAAATGTAGCTGCCATGGTTTCAAGCTTTAAAAATTCAACCATATGTTGGTTCTATAACATCTGGAAGGATTCAGGGGGCTCCCTAAGAAAAAATTAGAACTGCACAAAAATGGTTGGTGAATTTTGGTGGGGTTCTAGTGGCTGTACATGTTTGATACTTGTGTGCGCCTCATTTGGGCATGTCACACAGCACTACACTGGTACATTTTCAGTATACGCACTTTGAGACATAACCTGCAAACCAGAGCTCGTTGTGCAACATCCTCAATGTGTTGTCACTTCTGGGTAATGTCATCGCGTCAGGGATGTCCCAGAATGCCCCCCAGATCCTCCTGCAGGCGCAATAAGCAGGGGTGTGTGTGTAGGGTTGACAGATTCAGGTTGGGAAACTTCTGAAGATTTGGGGAATGGAGTCT